ATGATCCCCACAGTCTGTGTAGCGGTTAAATTTATCAGCCGTAGCGACTACCATGATGTAATGGTTAGGCCTGCTCATCATCGTGACTCGACTGAGCTATATTGTCTAGAACGTATTCTATTTTAGGTCCTGCCATGCCAGGAAGGACGGTTAGGGAACGATAAGGCTAAAAGCAGCATCTTATGGTCCAAGGGCGAATTCATACTACTGACTTTAGAGGGTTGTGATAGATGTAAGGTGTTACCTTCAGACAAGTAACATCTGAAGCTTTGCTGCCTTCTCACAATGGGTTAAAAAGGGTCGACCTCGAAAATATCGCACCTTACATTGCCCACAGATTTTATTTCCTGTGTTAAGACCTGTAGAAGTGAGAAGCTAGCACATCAAAAACGTCCCATAGAAAGTTCGTGAGTGACCAGTCTCAGGCAGTCTCACTTTGCTTTCTTCATTTTGTCTCTCTGATTGTCTGTCCAGATCAATGAGTATGCAAAATGCACGAATTCGAAATTCATTCTCGTATTTGACATATTTTATTCCGTTATTCTTTAACGCGAATTAAGTCAACAAAAATATATTAAGGTTGCCGGCATGTATCTTTCTATAACAATCACCATAAGATTTGACTGGAGTCAGATACAGGGCCACTAAAAGGCTTCTTTAGCTAGGACTCTAGAATCTCGTGTCATCTATGTATGCTGTATCACTGGAACACCCATACAGAATCTAAGTACGTTGATGCATTTGATCTCACCTTGTCAACATGAATAACGGTGCGATTTACCTTTTGTGCACTTTGAATTCCCCCTGATACTCCTCATGGCCTATCTGGTGTGGGTAAACCATTAAGTTTAAGAGCAGAACCGAATCTCATAACTCTATTCTAATAGACAGTCACTTGTGCGCTGTTCAACTAAACTGGACAATAGACCTCGGAGAGGAAGAGACACACGTCGTTGCCTCTTCCTTGTCTGTGCCTACGCTCCTACTGATTGTAGCTCGGATGAAGTAAGGGTTAGATTTTACAGGAAGCTTTCCACTTTTCAATAAGCTGGATGCACAGATGTATTATCAATGGCGTGTGATTTTAATACCCAAGTAGGTAGTCTAAACCAAAACAAAAGTCACTCAGGTGGATCATACAGTATTGAGGCTCGAAGAACAGATAATGGTGGTCATCTGCTGCAGCTATGCTCAGATAACGTTTCTCTTTAATAAGCACTTTAAACATAAGGAAAACATTGACATGGTGACCTCGAAATCGACTCAGTGATGGACTCAAACAGATTGCATTGCATCATCCATTTTTAAAGAGGCTCATTCTGGAGCACATGTTCAGACTTAGATCATGCTCTAGTACGAGAACGTTTTTGTCTGTGCCTTACTGGATGAGAAAAAGCCACAGTAAGAAAACCACTTCAGGTCCAACTTAGTGACCGAAACGTCAAGAATGCTCTTGAGGAACAACTAAAGTAGTTAGTGAACCATGTAAGTGATATCCACACCGAGGTAGTTTGGCATGATATCCAAATGTCTATGGAGACAGCAGTAATATTCACCTATAACTTAATACAAAAAGTTAAGAAAAATAAGTGAATTTGAGCTGTGTCAACTGAACTGATAGGTGCTTGGAAACTCACCACTTCTAAGATCGAACACAATCAGGATCATAGGTGGTTTAAATGTAGGCTGATGAAAAATCTACTCCGTGTTGGGTGGTGAAAGCGGGAAAGATGAGGAAGGTAGCGAGAACAAGTAACAGTAGACAACTGATCAGACTTATCAAGGAAACGGTTATTTAAAATCCAGTTCTTAGTGAAACTATCTCAGATAGAGATGGGCGCTATTATTCACTCTTGATCCAGGAGAATGGACCGATATGCAGAACACTTTAGAGAACAGTTCAACTAACCTTCAGCCACACCTCAGTTACCCATCATATTCGATCATCCTGAATGAAAATTGATGTAAGCTGAAAAGGTTATAGGCAATCTCAAGCAAGAGAGAGCATCAGGGCCTGATGGACTAACCACTGGGATTTTAATGATGGTGGTCCAGTTTCAGCAATTAGATTAACTGAAATCTTAGCTAGAATGTGGGAAATGGACGTAATCACATCATACTGGTCACAATCGCTGATCGCTCCAATCTATAAGAAAGGACAAAAATCCTCTTGTGACAATCGCAGAGGAATAAATTTAGTCTATAAATTGTCTAAAATGTTAGCCGCAATCATGCCATAAATAATGCTAGAACAAAATAACACATTTCTTTCTAGTTTACTACTCTGTACATTTCACGATTTTGATTCAATATTGTGTTATATAAATGAAATTCCATCCACATCATTCTGTTATAGTTTTGCAAAGTACTAACAGATGGAGTCATGATTGCACACTACTGAGTCCCATACTAGAACACAAAAACTGAACAATACTTCCTGGTCTTCAATGCTTATTTGATTGAGGTCAATTTGTGAAGTAGGCCATAAAACTAAACTATTCCCATAACCTCATGTTCTTCATATTTACACGAGCTGTTTAAATTATGGAAAAACATAATAATAAGAAAATTTATTCCTGTTTTCAAAAATAATACTCTGCGCCTTTATAAATGGAACCTATTAATAAATTTCAATACTCCAAGTAGTGAGTCTTGGTGAACACCTCAGTAGGCCGGAGAAAAAGCGAATAAAATTGTTTCATTTCTCAGTTAACTTATTGTTGTGACTTTAAGCCCGGCTAATTATCACGTGACTTATTCGCCAATTGGAATACGACTTACATAATTTTAGCACTGTGTCAAACCAATGACGTCTGATCGGTATGAGCAGCTCAGCGTCCTTATTGGTTATTTTTTCTCCCAGCCCTGCCAGTTGAGTGCAGAACACCGATAACAACTTCCGTTATGCGGATCACTTATTTAAAACATACCTGGTTTAATTACAAGCCAAACGGACCACATCACACCATAGAATAGAAAAAAACATTGAACTAATAAGTAGCTGTGACCTTGGGAGACCGTAATTAATAAACTGAACATAATTTAAGAACAGTAAATCGTATAATGATAGTCTATAAGTCAAAATGAAGCTTATAATAAGAGGAATATAGATATACACAAACTAGTTACTGAATAGTTATGTAATAAGGATATATATACAATATTAGTCCATTAATAGTTCTCAGAAGTTACTCGTAATTTAATCTTCACTAGAATATAACACACGTATTTTTTCGTGTCATATTTTATGTAAACAGATTGAAAAGTTTGTATTCTCTCTGTGCAGAAAGCCATAACTGTTCAGTTTATGCTAGTATACTGTAATTTGACATTACCATGTATTAAAAAATTAGGTCCTTGTAAATAGAGAGCTACATTAGGTAGCTTGAATTTTTAAAGAAGTTAACCCATTACAATAATACCACAAATACTGAACAAATATATCTTGTATGTTTTTTATTGTCTGTTGACTTAGGAAGTATTCATTATGACTACTGAATAAATAAAAGTAAGCAAACGTTTGCTGTAAGATATTTTGAACTCTCGATCGAAAGCTTCAAGTACATGAAAGTTTGGGATAGATCACTCTTCCTTTAAATGAGAGTTTTATTCAGGATTGACATGTATCAGCGTCTAAATTAATTATAAGGCATGAAGTGGGAGATATTGCTGAGTACTTAGCTCATCTTGGAAGTCATCAACTAGATATTTAGTTTCAATATTACTTGATAAGTTTTTGTACAAATTTATTGTCTTTCAAAATTAAATTCCTTATATCTAGTCTTTTTTTAACACTCATTACTATCGTGATTGTTCTTGTTAATTTCATCTAGCTGTGATATCATTATGCAACTTGGATCAATACTTATTTTGTTCAAGTCTTCGTTGATCATTACCGGACCCGTTAACAGTGTATAGGAAAGACTCTAAACATAACTGAACTTGGAACCTTCTAGTTACGTATCGAGGATGCCAAACTAAACGTAATTTTGACCTAGTCCTTATTAGCTAATTCAAAAACAATAAATTTGTACATTTCCATCTATTGATTAATAATTAGTCAAATTAGGGTATATTATGCTTCTGTATAACTGATTATAACAAAGTAAATCAATACAGATTAGTATATCAGATTGTGAGCCACATATGCATTTTGTTAACAGTAATAATATTCTCTAGTAGTCCAGATCTCAACAGGTATAGAATTGTTAGAATCAATAAACTCAATAGTTGGAAATCTGTTGACTAATAAATTTGGTAATAATAATGAGTTTTAGTTAAATGGTGTTACAAACTATTGAAACAGTTTGATATATCTCAAGGGCTTTGCAATATATATATAAGTTGTATGCTTAACTACGCCTTTATAAAACACACAATTGGACATAACTAATCAGATAGTTAACATACATGTGAGTAATCAATCATGCGCTTATCGTAAGCAAGTACACTTGGTGATAAATAATGCGTAAAATTGAACAAGAATCAGGTTATCAATTAATAGTCACTTTGTTCAACCCGAAATGTTATGGTGAAACTTGTTCAATAAAGTCATTAAAATGATGAACTCGTTGATCTACAATTACTTAAGCGAAATGGATGTCATTTAAAATGATTCTGCAGATTGCAGATAATCAAACTCCCCAACCTGAAATCACATAGAATAGAACAGAAAACCAAAAGACACTGAATAAGTGCTTCGTCCTAGTCTAGGACTATAACAGTTATGTTCACCAGCAGTCCCATATACGACTGAATTAGGTATCTTCCTGTCATATAATAAATAAGACACTGGACGGCCGACTCGTCCTATTGTGGAACTCCTCAGCAGTGCCCATCTACGACCCCGCTCGCGGGGCTCGAACCCAGAATTTTATTGAGTAGACAAATCAAGGACATGATAATTCTCGGGAAGAAAAGCTCACTTAAAATTCAAGCCAAAATTACTTTCAAGACTTAATTAAAATGTCTTCAAATCAATTTCAGTTGAACAAATCGACAAACAGAATAATCATTTATAAAAACAATAAACTCCAACAACAACTACTAACATTTAAAAATTAATGACTATATAAAATTCAATTAATTGTATCCGCACAAATTGTGCGAGGATTTCCAGGAACTAACGACATAAATTAAAGTAACTACGATCGGCTAAAGAATAGTAATAGCAATCAGTAGCAGTAGTGTTTGCTACTCTGGTCGCGTCTATTTTTGTTTACTTAGTACTTGCTTCAAAGAAAACAACAGCTTTTTTTCAAAAATAATATTTGTTGCTTATTTCGTAAAGGAAATGGAAGACGATTATCTTAAAGATTTAGAAAGTAACAACAGCAAAACAAGTACAAGTAGTTTAGGAATAAAAAACAAAATCAAAGTTTCATGCTCAAGCATGTGATCATAGTGACAGCTAAAACAGGAAATAATGGAATAGTCATTAATGAATCAAAAAATTAAATACAAAAGCAGTCAAACATGAAATTATAGATTTAAAAACAGTATATAGTGTACACATATTAAAGAATATGATAATATTATAACGAGACTATTTGTAATGTTGAAACTGATTCTTGTTGCACAGGCAACAGATAATGTGTCACTTAATTCGATAACTGATATGCATATGCTCCGAACTGTCATTATTACAAGTTATATATGGTTGTATTAACCTACGAGAATCACAACAACTCTCTTGTACAATATTATAAACTGATACAACAAACTAGTGAACATGAATACTAAATAATATACTTGGAATGTATTAGGCCACTAAAGAAAATTAATAATTTTCATACTTTTTTTCTAAGTATACAAAAATAAACAAGTTGGTTTATGAAGGAAGTTGAAATCTTTGGTGCAGTGTGTACACGCACATACACATACATCAAACATTATTGAGAACAATTCAGTGAGACCATTTAAACATAAATTCATTGTTCACTTAAGTCGTTGTAACATTAGAGATGCACATAAAGCCAAATATAGATGAAGTTGGCAAATGGATACATATGTATGAATAATCATGCATAAAAAAATTTGTTTATTGTTTACAACTTTGTAATAAATAGGAATATTATAGTTTCTTTTGACAAACAAAACAAAACACATGAATGATTCGTATCAGAAAATTTATGATAGAGAATATTTTTAAAAAAAAAGTCACTAATATCAAATGATAGAAGAGGAGAAATGAGCATGAATTACACATATTATTCATAAATATACTACTATTACTACTTACAAACGACAAAAGTAGTAGTAGTTAGAAATATTATAGACAATCAATTAATAGGGATTTTCATAAATTTCTTGAAAAAAGCGGAAGGATACGGATAATAATTTCTGTTGAGTAGAAAAGAAAACAAACAAGCACAATTATGGTTGAACACCAATGGATTACATAACAGTTACATTATCAGTATCTAATTCTAATGTAGAATTAATCGACTTAGAATTAGCATCAGGTGGTGGGGGTCGTTTAGGTGGTAGATCTTTACTCAGTTTCAATTCATGAATAGTTGGCGGCGTGATCATTTGTGATGGTAATGACAATTTTTGACTATGATTAATGGTTGTTAATTCTGTGCAGTTTGTGGTTGAGCTACTTATAAGTTGTGGAAGACTTTCATGGCGAGAATGGTGAACTGATACTTCTGAATTACTACTGCTACAAATGTTGTTGTTATCACCATCATTTTTGTTTTCTATGTCAGTGCCAGAGGGATTTTCTGATTTTTCAGGATCATTATTATTCACATGAGTTAATGAATAATTGGTTGGATTTAAAAGAACTGGTGGTTTTGGAGCAGCATTTTTCTTTCGTTGAAGTATAGGAGTAGTACTTAAATTTGACATCCTTGTAAGACACATAAACCAAATCAAACAACAACAAAAAGGTAATTTAACGCTGTGAAGAAAATGACAAATGAAAAAAACTAAATATACTCACTCAAATACTATATACATATGCCAGAGAAACTTCTGAGCCGATTACCAGGTTCTTAGTCTTTCGAGACAGTGTTTTGGAAGGGATATCTGACGATAGTCCTGGCATAAAAAATCTAAGAACTTTACGGAAGCGCACCATATATTATGTCAAATATATATAATACGTAATGTTCTTCGGCAGGTACGTTTACTGCGTTTAACTAATAACTTACTCATAGAATATTTCTTATGAAACATTTCAACTTTTTCTTCATCTTATGTATACGTAAAACACTGAACGGCAAATGTAAAACTACTCTAATAGAAAAATTTGTGTAGATACCACTATTACTTAAATGATAAACCAGAAGACAGTCCAACATTTGTCAACTATTTACAAAACAACCTTCCTCACAAAAAAGAAAAGTAGATCAGAGAGTTCAACTCAAGAGGAATGCTGTAAATGTAGAATAACACGAACTTTGTGAAATCAACGCACAGGATAATAAAAATGTACAGTCTCAATCATAAATGTCCGATTTCGGGTTGTGCGTCCAATTTATTTTCTAGAATCGACTACTTGCTACATGCTAGTTTGCATGAAATAAGGAAAGAAATGTCTAGGAAAGTTGTGTTATACACAAGTCCCGAATAACTAAGTGTATGAAGCCATATCAGTTCAAAAGTATGTCAGTTGCTAAAAAATGAAATGCGTACAGAAGTTTTTCAAACGATCAGTTAACCAAAAAAATACCTTTACAGTTATAGATAACACGGGGAGGCATACAGTAGATACGGATCTTATGGGATACAATTGCTCTTCTAGATGTGAAATGACGTTATTGAGTCGATATCTTATCAACTAAGCTCTTAAGTTCAATGAACTGATCAGCCAAATTAGTTCTTGTAGAAAACGATGGGTTTAGTTCAGAGGGTTTTTAAACCGTAATGAATTACTACAACGAATACCAGACACGGAAGTCCAACGACAGCCAACTAGAAATGATAAAATGAAACATATCAGTCAAATATTAATAAATTATCAAGAATTTTTGCTAGTAGTCAACTACATGTTACGTAACGTATCTAGTTCCGTCGCAGCACCCGTTGACCCAAGTTCAATTCCTGAATTTCATTTACAATTTCTATTTAGTACAATTGACCATTTGTGTAACAACACTAGCGCAACATTATACATTTCCGTAGACCAAGAAATGGAAGAAATCAACAGTAAAATTGATGGTTTCGGAAATGTAGATCTGGATGTTCCTATATCCAGTAATAGCAATGCAGACAAGAGTGAAGCGAACATGTATATATGAGTGAATTATGAAATCCCTGAGCCTAGTGGAGAATCCAACGATGACAATGTTGATATTTGTGGTAAATGCTGTTTGCTCCAACCACCAAGAGTCGAAAACTGTATTGGTGAACGGATCAGATGTTCAAGATGAAGCATATTCAAATCCTCTAGTTTGTTTTGCAAGGACCGCTGGAGGTGACTTCCTGTTTGGAGAATTGTACGGCTATGATAAATAGTCATGGATTCTGTACGTGGATACCACACTTAATGGTACTTGTAGATATCAACAAGCGTTCAATAAGAACGTAAAATGACCCTTTCTAGGTTCTCCTCAACAAACTGATTTAATACTCCAGCCTTTTTTCATTCAATGTATTAACAATAGTCCGGTCAGTCAATAGAAATAGCTATGTAATAACTTTTTACTAAGTGCGTACCACATATAGCATAGAAAACATCAAGTATAATTGCCTAATAATAAGTATGAATTTTTGCATTAATGACCTTTACATAATTTGATTTAATTGTGAACAGTAAGTTTCCTAGACAGATAAAACTATTTTTAATGTTAAGCAGTTGACCTGTACCAGACAGTAAATGTAAGCTATTCCATGTCTGAGACAACTGCGGTTGTATTGATTCTCTGTTTGACATGGTTTTTATATATTTTTTACACGTTACTGAAACCTCATTTCACCACTGAATTTAAGCTGGTGACGTTTACGAAATATGTGCGTACAATCTGAAAGACATGTTACATGATTACATTAAATGATTTATTCGGCGTTGTGACGAGATGACAATTGTAAATTAAATTTGCGATGAAATTAATAACAACTTACAACTGAATATTATATTACACTTTACATAACACAAGATGAAAGTTTGTATAATTACGATTGTACGGTTGAAGAAAATGTAATTGTCCGAAACAACATTTTCTTCACTGGAACACCAAAATTTTTAAAAATTATTTCATTGAATTCATGAAGCAATCAACGTTAGACCGCCAGTGAAAACCTGGAAGGATAGTCCGAACGTATCGTCCTGGAATAGGACTCTTCAGCAGTGTTCATCCACAATCACACACGTGAGCCTCGAACTCAGGGCTTTCGGTCTCGCTTGAATCATTTAATTGTTCCTATCTTGAAGTGGTTATCTTCACTTTTTGCTGACTAGGTTAATTTATATTCGGGCAAACTAGTAACAATGATCACGATAAACTTGCGCTTAGTAAGAGTGAACTTTTTAATTCTATTCAATTACTTTGTATGTACAGTGTATTCACCAAATAGATCTTATACTACAACATCTTGACATTATACATATATCATCTATGCAACAGTTGACAAATGAACGGTTTCAAATGCTTTTTATTTTTTACATCATTTATACATTTAGTGACTCAGTTGACATTTATGTCATATACGAATTTAATCATAGTGGGATATTCTAAAATTAACTATACATAACTGAAAAACCTTAATCTCGTGTCTACACAATGGATGATAATAAAAATGACTATTCTTTTAATTTCAGTATCATTTCTTGCAATCTTCTAGTAATGATGTTCAGTGTTTGAAATAATCGCTTGTTCAAACACGTTCAAATGTTGCTTTTAAGTAGAGTAAGACTGTGAAACGTGGTGGATCAAGTGAACTCTTTGGACAGGTAAACAATACACATAAATCAAATTCATTTTAAGTGACATTACAACACACTATCCTAATACTTACTGCCACTGAATTGGTCGACATGATTAATCTCTTCATATGCAATTGATGATTAGGTCGGGATCCAATTTGTTCTCTACACATACACATTTTAAATTTCACATTTGTTGGCGTGTCACATCAAATGACTTAAATTGTCACTATACATATAACTAACTGTTAAACAGGTTTGGACAAGAGTTCAGCATTAACTTGTGTTAAGCCTTATATATCGCTGACAATCACTATTTTCATTATTGAACAGTTAGCCCACGAACAAAAGTTGAACACCATCACTTGTCTTATTCACTACTAACTAAAGTTTGTTACTTGTAAAATACATTTTTCCAAATAAATGAACCGACTGAGACAACGGTTTATAAACCTACGATTAGAACCTACGACAGAACCCACCCAAACAAATTGAAATAAAATAGTGGGTATTAGTGAAACAGTGATTACATAATTTATAGGTTAGATTGGAACAATCACGTGAGTGGTTTTAAAAAAACAAAAAAGAGAACTACTTGAATTCATTGCGCATCACAGCTAGCAAAGTCTACGAAGCATTGGATATTTTTTAAACTACGATACGTATCTATCCTAAAAGATACGAGAAATAGAGTGAGCATTATTGAAGGCTACTATTAAAAAGAGTAACCGTTGAAAGAAGGAATAACATTTTAAGGTTATGAAATTTTTCCGATTCGTCCTCTGTCCCTTTGCCTATACAATCAATCAAAAACGTAGTTTTCAAGACGTTTAATGAAGAGTCTACGTTCAAAAAAATACTTTAATTATTTGAATATGGTAACAATTTGTTATTGTTGTTACTCCGGTCGTTTTATTTCGTATGTTTATTTTGAACACCTACATGATGATCACTTTAGAGGCGTACTTGCGTGTTTGGGATTCCCAACAAAATAAAAGTTTATTGGACAGCCTTAGACCCCAAATGCCCTGGTACGGCCGAGGGTGCGGTGCAATTTCAATTTACATCCAAATACATAAAGAACTTGAAAAAGTTCCAGTGAAACGACTGCTTTAAAATATTCCCTTATATTGTTCAACTTACGGCAGAATGAAATCCTGAAAATAATTATTACTGAAGATTTAGAGAACTTTATTTCCACAATCTGTGAATTCGTATCTCAGTTTCTAAACGAAGAAGTGCTTATTGCCTCTGCAGCAAACCTATCTATTTATTATTATTTATTTATTTGAACACATAAATATTGGTACAGAGGGGCACCAAATATATATGCGCCACACAAAACAATGATAATTTGAAGAGAAGGAGAAAAGAGAAAAAAAAAAGTAATGAACGTGGGGAATTATAAAAAAAAAGGGAGAGAGAGAACAATGGTGGGGGAAACGGAAAGGTACAATCAGAAGAGATCTTTCAGTTAAGGAAGATACAACCACTTTTTATGAAGAAAGTAAGAGGTTACAGCACGATCGCCACTGGCTTCTATTCTTAGCCATATCTGATAACGTCTCTAGCCACTGCGTTACACCGTCTCTCGGACCCCAACCAGGGAGTCGTGAAGGACCAACAGAAGCTAGCCCTTTGCAGCTTTCTTTCATACCACGACACCATGTCATATACTGACCACCTCTCCGCTTTTTCCAACCAGTCCCAGAGTCGGCAAATAATGCACGACGTGGAATTCTCTGGGACGACATTCGTAGAGCATGTCCAAGCCACCGAAGTCGGGGTTTCAAGATGGTGACACCAATTTCATTATCGTCTCTGTGACCGAACACACGATGCCGAACCTCTGCATTACTGACATGGTGTTGCCACTGAATGTCAACAATCCTTCGGAGACAACAATGATCAAACGCAGAGAGACGTCTAACATCCTCAACTCGGAGAGGCCAGGTTTCACAAGCATAGAGCAAAACTGCTCT